GCCTCCCCGGGCGGCGCGGATCCCCGGCTCGGTTTCGGCCGGCCCCGCCGTCCTTCCCCGCCTCCGCTTCTCCCAAGCGAAAGGGCCTCGCCCTGAGGCGCAGCAAACCCTGAGGAGGAGCGTGGGGTTTTTTTGCGGGGGGGCATCGCTGAAAATACCCGCTGGGATAGCCAGTTCTGCGTGTAGGAGCGCCCGCTGTTGTAGCCGGCCTGTGGAGCAAGGCCAAGCATTGCCCAGAGCCCCCGTGCTCATAGCCTCTGCCAAGGCCTGCTACAACGGGCGAGCTCTGCCTCATTATCCCCAGGGTGCGAAAGCCGCTGGGAGCTGAGCTAACCTCCTTGCTCGTGTTGCGGGCTGCACTCAAAAAAGTGATGAACCTGGGTACGGTCGCATAACCTGCACACATTCCTGCAGTCCTGCCTTTGCTTTTCGGTGTTTGACCCAGCTACGACATGCAGCATCATCCTGGGCTGCTGCCGCCGCCCTGGGAGGACATGGCCGGCTGCCCTGGCCCAGGGCTGGGCTGCCCGGGAGCTGCTATGCGCTTACTGGTGGGTGCAGGCGGCCGGAGGTCTGCGGGGAAGCACGTGTTTGAAGGAATATATCCTCTGAGGGAGACGCAGGTGCTAGGCTGGGTATCCAGCCTGCTGGAGCTTAGCAGTAGAGGCTTGCACTGAACTGGGAAAGATTGTATTTTCAATCTCCCTCTCTTCTTTTTCATAGTGTTTTCTGCATTGAGGCAGTCCTGGGGCAAAAAATGTGTCCTAAGGTGATGGAAAACTATGTGGCGTCGATGGTGCTGAGTGCAGTTGGTGACACGTTGGGCTATTACAATGGGAAATGGGAGTTCCTGCAGAGTGGCCCAGCTATCCACAAGGAGCTGGCGGAGATGGGGGGACTCGGCAACCTCAGCATCCGAGGCTGGAAAGTCAGCGATGATACGGTGATGCACTTGGCCACGGCCGAAGCCCTGGTGGCTGCCGGGAAAAACCCAAGTTTAGAGCATCTCTATTCCCTGATTGCAAAGAACTACAAGGAGTGCATGAATGACATGAAGGACAGAGCTCCAGGTAACACCTCTGTAATGCTGTCTGGGCAGGGCTGTCCTCTCGCTAACGTCTCTCCCTTTCCTGCACAGCTTGGAGCTGAGGCTGGCCCTGGCTCTGCTTTTGGCTGTTTATAGCGTTAATCGTATTTCACGTAAAGGCAAAAGTTTTCCACGCTCGGTACCTGTTTGAGGATGAACTAAAGAGAATAGAATAAGGCAAGCTGAAGTGGTTTAGGCTTCTCTGAACTAGGTGAAAAAGCTACTGTTTTGCCCACGTTTACAAAACGTTCTTACAGGCGTGTTTGCCTTGAACTCAGGGGAAGGGTGCTGGCTTTTGCGCTGGGGATGTGTCTTTTCATACACTCAATGGGTGAAAAATGCAAATTTAACCATGTATAATGTGCACCTGAGATGATGTGTTAAAGCAACACATGTAAACAGAGAATTAATATAGAACTTCTCGTAATAAATGCAATAAATTACACATAAAATATATTTAAAGGCACAAAGATCCTTGCTTGGAATAATTTAAGTTTATTAAACCCAAAGTCTACTTTTGGCTAGCCCCGCGTGTCTACTTTCTGTGCGAGGACAGTCAGGCCCCAATTGTCTTTTCTGAACCCTGTACTTCCATCATCTCTCTTTTCTCTGCATAGACACAACGGCGCTGAGTTTGGGTCACAGGCAGCAGGGACTGGCAGTGCGTGGCAGTGTTCAGGAAGGGCCCCTTCACAGGCTGCAGTAGCCAAACCGTATCCAACGTATTCCTGTAGTTCCTCGTTCACCCAGGCCTGCTGACCCAACTCTTCCCCAAGGACCCCGTCTGTCCCTGCGCTCATGGCCCAGCCTCTTCTGGATGCTTGTATTAAACTTAAATTGGAGCTACGGAGGCTGGGCCTCTAATTTGACTAGTGCAGGCAGCGTGAAGTATCCAGGAAACGCCCAAGTTCAGCAATCCTATGCAAAGTTTATACTTCGAAAAGAAATTGCCTAGACCTGCCTATTTGGAGTGGCCAGAATATATCAAGAATGTTCTGGCTCGACATTAAACATGGGAAAGGCCAAATCCTGCATTGCTCTCTTAGGGTCACTGAGCATAGTGTGACAGAGCTGTGCATTTCCAAGGTAAAACAGGTTGGAAACTCGAGCAGGAATTTATTCTGCTTACCCTACCCCCATGTAAAGAGCTAAACTATCAGTATTCTTTGACGCAGATAGTCTCAGTTGTTGGAGTAGCCTAATTAATAAAATATTTAGGAAGGGGTAACGATGCTTGCCAGGGTAGCAGGAGTCGGCAGGTTAAACTTCCGAGAGACTCGCTGCTGTTTTGGCAAAGGAGCATCCTGTAGCTCCCCCAGCTGATGGGGTCTGCCAAGGTGGACTAACCCTGGCAGTGAGACAGCACCTGGAAGCTATTTTTGCCTCAGCTATCTAAGCTTGGTGGCTAAAACCTGAGATGAAAAGGAGAAGAACCTAAAATTTAAATGTTGGTAATTAATAGCTAAGCATAATAGCACACCTGCTGTAGTCCTTCTGTGAGGAGCTGAGCTGCAGTATGCCCAAAAGCAGCTCCCATTCGAAGTGAAGGATTTAAAAGTAAATTTGCTACGGACACTAATCGGCGTGACAAGGAAAGGTCAGGTTATCTAGCTAAACAAAGAAATGCAACTTCTTTAGTGGGTCCACGGACACTTAACCTCGTAAAATTTTGGGGGAAGTGGGGAAAGGAACGTGGAAAAAAATGGAAGTCTGTGGGAATGTTCTTGCAACAGTGTTCTGGAGTGCTCCTGCTGCAGCCACAGGAAAGGTGCTCCGCTCTGAGAGCTTAAATCCTGATACTTAACAGTTTAATGCCCACTGACGTACCAGCAAAGGGAATACCTAATCCATATCCTGAAAAGCTGTCTGCAGTCTGGAGTCTCCATGCCGTATTGATAAAACCTAATGATAGAAGTCGCATGTCAATAACTTCTTTCGGCAGTTCAGAGTAAATGGATTTAAAATGAGAACGTAACCCAAGGTGATGCTGTTCTGGCCAAAGTAAGTACTCACCGGGGAATTGCAGCCCTTAAGGCTGAGGGTGGAAAGTTGCTGCTGCAACTGTCACCCAACAGAGAAGAGATTCCCCCAGAACAGTGGGGGAAAGTCACATTGCCTGCCCACACAAGGGAGACTAGACCCGAAAATGAAAACCCGTAGTAACAAAGGGATTCCCACAATGTTATGAGTCACCAGAGGGCAACGGCAGGGTCCCTCAAGTATGCAGCCCCAGGAGAGAACTCAATGTCTTAATTCAATGGCAAGTTAATCCCTACATGCATTATTGCTCTTTGTGATGTGCCGCAGCCCCAAATTCATTGTTCTTCACGGATAACGAAGCCAGTGAATTAAGCGGCACGAGCATGGCCATCTTTCTTTTTTCACGGTGCAACTACACCTGCCTCCACAGCTCTCCAGGAAACTTTCTGCTTCAAAACTGTTGCCTGTCACTCGGTGTCTTTCGGTCCAAATCCACTTCCTATGGAATTATTTACAACTGTGTGGTTGTTTTAACTCACCTCTTTAATGTGTATTGACAGATCCAAACAACTGCTATTATCCGTGCTCATGAAAAGTCTATATAATTTGAATGGAAGCCTTTTCCAGAAATAGCGTCCAGTTGTACTTGAAGCTTTTTCAAGTTGGCTTTCTTCACACACTTTTTGCTTGTATTTCTTCTTGGACCAGTACCCTCCTCAGGTTACTTTTAGTTTCCTATTGTTAGTACAAACGATCCCTAATCCCTAAGGATTTGGTGGATTTCCAAAACATAATTTCCTGATTCAAAAACTCCTAGAGCATTTTTTTTCTAAACCTATTTTTAAAAAAAGGCCCGCCAACGTGATTTCAGCTTAGTCTTCCTAAATCAGCTTTTAAATGTTTTAATATTTTAACTGTTTAAAAGCATGAGGATAATACTTGTAATGCTTCATAAATCACAAGAGTCTTAGCTGTCATATGCTGGTTTGTTTTACACAATTTTTTTTCATTTGCAGGTTATCAGTAGTCATCTCCTAAAGTAATACGCACAGGTTTAAAGCTGTGTTTAAAGCTGTTTACAACAAGTAAATTGTTATTGCAAAATAGCCAGTCTTTCCTTAGAGTTTAAACCTTGTCATCTTCCTCATTTTCTTTTGACCACAGTTAATGGAAGAACAATCTCAGGTTTTATCAAGGACCGAGTTGCCTGCTCTCAACCTGCCCAAACGTGTCCTGAAGAAATAAATGTCTTTCTCACAGTTCCAGCGAGATTACAGAGTTCGTTTTGCTTGTGTCGTGCAGATTTTGATTTTAAGCTACCCTAGGCCCTTTGCTCTCTCCCCTTCCCCTTGTCTTCCTGGTAGAAGGTCTGTTTTACCAGGATCATACAAATAGGGTAGTCGGCACAGCTTTTTAAAAACGTGGCTTTGTTTGACAGGTTCTTTTTAATCCCCTATTATAGGTCGTAAGTGCAATGCTTAGTACAGTCAGATTTTTGAAAAAATGCCTCAATTTTCTGTTAATCATCATAAAGTTGGAAATTATACTGATATTCCTCTTAACGATTTTGATGCATAGCAGCCAGCACTGAATTAATAAACTACATGAAAAGCAGATTGAGAGGCCTGGACACGTTCCCACTTTGAGACATCACAAAAACAAGCTCCCAGGCAGTTCAGTTAAGAGGTTGGTGGCAATCGGTCCCAGCAGAGCCCCGTGCTACTCACACCAAACGCTCTGCCTCCTGCTTCTTCCAGCAGAGGAACACGGCCCCGCAATTTTCACTCTGTAAATCACCGGGAAGAAGGATGTGTAAGACACCTCTGGACTGACGCAGGGCTTGGCTGGCCATGTGGCACTGCAAAACCAGCAGGTCTCATCTCCTGGGAAGGGTGTGACGGTGGCGTGTCGCGAGAGGCTCGTGTGCTGGCAGAGCAGGCACGGATGAGGCTGGTGAAACAGCAGGTCTGGTTCATGCCTGGGTCACGCTGCGGGGAATTCACAAGAGCTAAAGTGGCCTGACGTGGGCTGCGCTGATCGGCAACCCGTTGCTTCCTATGGGGGAGACTTGCATAGGCCATTTCCATTCTCAAAGTCGATTTCAGCTGACAGGCTTGCGGGGCGAACAGCCCGCCAGCCACAGGACCGAGCTGCTTTCTCAGTTTGAGACAACCATTCACGGGGAGCTGGTCCACCCATTCACACTGTGCAGGGCTGTATCCTGCACTGATCTAGTAAGCCTATAATGTAACAACACTGTCGGAAAAGAAAGACGCTAAAGACACTTAGACCAGAACTAGAAAAGGATCCACGTGACCTTATTCCTGACAGCAGCCAGCCGTTATTTATTTTTAGCACATGTCCAGAAGCCAATCTTAAAGCTGTGCTTGGATGTGGAGGTATTTCGGTTACAAGGGTGCTGTAAATGCCGTGTGCAGGTAAAACAGACTGCCACGTACCACATCCTACTGCCAAGCGTATACATGAAAGTGCAGAAGTGAACAGCTCTGCAGAGTACTTGGTGCAGTACCTAGCTGTGAACAGCAAGCTCCCCGATCATGGTGATCGAAATGCACCAAAGGTAATTGAATTGTAGAGTTATGTGAAATTTCTAGACCAGGCTTCTTCCTTGCTACTCTGTTCTACTTAGTTTGACTTTCAGAGTAACAGAGCACCTGCAAGTTTATCAGCTACTGTCCCGGTTAGGCAGCAAAGTGTCGGAGCAACGGTCTAATTTTGGGTGCATAAGCATGTCAACTGCTGCTGTTACCCTGTGTGTCTGAGAGAGGACTAGGCACGCTGTGGTTAGGAGAAGACTAGTCTTTTGAGTCCACTTTTGCCGTTGTCCAACACATTGAAACTTGAATGAAGCTGCTTGAAACCTGCCCTTGATTTACCTTTCTGCTGGGAAAAAAGTATTTAAGATTTGTCCAGAAGAGAAGACTAGAAGAAAAAGGCAAGGTAGAAGAGAATCAAAGACAATTTACTGTTTCAAACTGGTTTCTGCTTCCTTGCACATGTGCATTTGGGCTTTTTTTACAGTCTTGGCTAGGGAAGCTGGCTGGGCTCTGAAATTTGGATGTGTTTGTGCAGATGGCTTTATCCTATGAATGTGCTGGACTAACAAGTGAGTTTCTGAAGCAGCAGCACTGGAAGAAGCAGAGTCATTTCTTTAAAAAGTAAATAGCAGAACTATGAAAGAGATGGAGGTGGGCGAGGAGGAGTTACGGTGTGGCTTCCCACCAGAAGAGAGGCAAAACTGGACTAGGGTGTCAGCTCGGAGCAGGCGAAAACTGGGGAAGAGGGACAAAATATATACAGTCTTGAATAGCGTGGAGCATGAAAAGTCGTTATTTCTTGTAAGGTAAGAATTAGAGGGGAATTTAAGGAAATTGTCAAATGTCAGTTTAAAACAAAAGGAAATGCTTTGCATAACAAAATCGTGGCTCTGGTTACCATGGGATGTTAAAGGAGTCTGAAGGCATGCATGGGTTCAAGCTAAGGAGACCAGTTCATGGTGGCTAGGTCCACTGGGGGTTACTGAGCGCAGCATTTTGGATCCATCTTCTGACTCAAGCAGGCTGTGCTCCTCTGTCTGCTGGAAGCCAGACGGGTCTTCTTGGGGAAACATTGTACTTGCCTCATTTTTTATAGTGTTTCCGCAGTTACCTGTTAGTGGCTGTGTTTGGAGGCGAGCTAGTGGGCTGGACAAACCTTTGGTCTGACCTAGTACAGTTGTTCTGCAGCTTCTTGAAGAGGAGTACAGTAAAGCCAGTTGCTCAGACCATGTTGTGGTGAGGGAGATACTACATTCATCGCTTTCTGACAAACTTAAACTGCTAGAGGGAGATCTGGAAAACATTTTGTATCAGCGGGGCAATGGGAAAGATTCCTGGGGGGCATGTGGGGTCACTGTCTTTAAAGGGTCCTGTAAAGAGGCTAAGCAACTGTCAGGAAAAAACGCAGAGGTACTTAGGCATGCCTTGGATCAGGGATTGATGTGATCTGATGGCCCTCCAAACTTCTTTTATATTTATATATGTCTATCTAGATATCTAGATATATGTGTACATAATATACCTAATATATATATGTTTTATAGATAAGTTATTTAATAAATAACATGAAATGTAAATATAAACAGTGTAAATTACATAAATCAGCAGCGGCATGTTTTTTACTCCTCTAGACTTTTTAATTATTTTCACAAACAGGAATTATCAGGTCTGCTTAGGAATATGCAGGATGCACCGGCAATTTAAGGCAAGAAGCGTATGTGAGCAGACAACTGATGCTTTTACAGGGAAGCCCGAATCCCTTACAGAGAGTAAGGCTTCCTTCCCTGCTACCCTGTCTGTCTTCCCTCGGTTCCCGAGCTATGTGACCCTGTCGCCTATTGATGCGTGTTTCTGTTTCTTTCTTTTCTTTCCCTTCTTTCTCTCTCGGGCTCTGCTGCTCCTGTCCAGGTGCCACGTGTAAGGAAAATGTGCTGAAGCTGGATCCAGGGCGGCCGGACGGCTGGAGGATCCCGTTCAGCCCCCAGGCAGGGGGCTGCGGGGCCGCCATGCGCTCCATGTGCATCGGGCTGCGTTTCCACCGCCCCGCTGAGCTGGACACCCTGGTGCAAGTCAGCATCGAGAGCGGCCGAATGACCCACCACCACCCCACTGGCTACTTGGGGTCCCTGGCTTCGGCCCTCTTCACGGCTTTCGCGGTGAATGGGGTGCCCCCCCCAGCCTGGGGGAAGGGGCTGCTGGAGGTGCTGCCGCGGGCGAAAGCCTACGTGCGGGACACCGGCTTCTTCGTGGAGGAGAACATGGGGCAGTGGTGAGCTGCACTCCCAGCACTGGGTTTTGCTAAAATTAAAATAAACCTCACGTACGAGAGGGCGAGCTCTGTTTATACTTAAGATTCAGTAATCACATTATGGTAAACTCCTAGAGCAGCACATGCCTGCCGTGGGATCAAATCGATTCAGAAAGTCTCTGAAGTCCCCCAGGGGAAAAATGCCTCTAACTTATTTAAAATAAAAAGGTCAGATTGTGTTTGGGTCATGTAGTTGTGACATTTTTTTGATCCAGTATGAGGTAGCTAGACTTGTCATCTCAAGCAACCGTGATCTGATGAAAGATGGGAAGCAAGGCTGGGGAACAGCGCCAGGCTTAGGGCTGAGCTCAGTTTGAAAGTTATAACCAAATCTGGCTGCAGATTCAGTGTGGCTCTGCGCGCAGGGGCATGCACAGACAGGGGTAGAGGTACTCTGAATTTGGGAGGATGACTCAGTTCTCACTCTGAGCCTTTGAATCCTGTGCAGCGCGACAGCAGCAGGTGCTGGGCTGCCTTCTCCCATGTGGCTGGAGAGGGGGGAAATCTAACTCACTGAAACATGTCCTTGTGCCTCTTAACCGTAAATCATGTCCCTAGTTTGACAAACGGGGGACACCTACCATTTTGTGAGCTGTCGCTCCAGGCTCTGGATGTGGCACGTTTACAGCTGGCGCCCAGAGCGCCTGCGGGGAGCTCGGGTATACGCTTCTGCTGTGGGACGTCTCTTACAGCCCCTCCATCTTGTCTCCTGTTTTGCAGGCATTACTTCGAAGAGCAATGGGAAAAATACCTGGCAGAGAGAGGCATATCAGACAGGGTCTCGCCGCCCACCTTCCCCCCCAAGTACGGCGTGGAAGAGAGAGACTCGTTCTACACCTCCCTCAGCTACGACGGCTGGGGGGGCAGCAGCGGGCACGACGCCCCCATG